ATGATGCTTCTTACCAACTCAGATATACTAATTTTTGCTAGGGATTGCCTGGTTGTAATTTTATGTACCAACTAATAAATGAAGAAAATAAGTTTAAATGAATAATAGTATCCTAAGATATGGAGAAAAATACGCAAGATAGCCATTCATTTGGCAAAATAACAGACATTTTAAAAAAGATAATAGAGACCAGTCAGGAAAACCATAACCTTACTCAGGAGAGATGTCTATAGACTATCCCAGAAGAAACCCTGAGCTTCATAGAGGATACTTTTCTGAAGCCATAACTGGAAATCTCTATATAGTATGAGGAACCTTCACCCCAAGATTTGCTGCAGATACTAACAGCTGGCAGACTGGTTGCCTCAGTACTCAGCACAATACCTCTAAGTGAAATCTCTCACCAAAGCTTAGGAACCATATGTAACTGTGATGTAAAGGGTGAGCTGGGAGGCTCCTGTCTACATCTCAGTCACTGATAGTGAACCAGAAAGAACTGGTATGACATTCACTCCCACCCCATGCACCTTCCTCTATTAAAGTATCTACAGCTTGGTAGAACTCTAGAACAAGAGAAGTTAGAATAAAAATCAGAACCAAAAGGCAGTCCTATTAGTCTGTTACAGTGTCCATTGGAATCTACAGGGGCTTCCTTCCAAGACCGTTCAGGACCAAAACCAGAGATGTTAGAGCCCTCACAAATTATCAGTGTTTGCACACAGGTTACCAACACTCATGCATATGTAAATAATTTCATCATTACTTACAATGCCTGATACAATGTAAGTGTACATAAAAGCTGTTTTATTATATTATTTAAGAAAAATTATTAAAATATTTCAGTATTGATGAAGTTGGTTTTTTTTTTTAAAGATGAGATTTAGCTTCATGGATACAGAGTGCTGACCAGGAATTGGTGGTGTTGCTGGTTCTTGGGGAAGTAGAGAAGGTAGGAAAAGAGTTGGCATTGGTGGAAATCTGTGTGTGTGTGTGTTTTTAATCTGTGTGTTCTTGTCTGCCACTCCCACTTAGGCACACATGGAGAAAAGGTACTTTTTAGACTCCACCTGTGTCCTATCACTTTTCCCTAAGGCCACCTTGACTGCCTCTAGTTGCCCAAGAATACATGACCTCAGCCTGGGCTTGAAGATAGATTACTTCCTGGATGCAGGTAAGACCTGCCCACTTCAGGGGACATCACCTGGGGTAGAAGGGCAAATATTTAGGCTTCTCAGACCCAGGTAGGTGTGAAGTAAGCAACTCATGGAAGAGACAGGACATACTGAAATTTCTCAAGCACCAGTGCTGGGCACAGAGGACCACAGACTGTACAGTTCAGCGAGCCAGGCATAGAAAGAGAGAACCACCCTTCACATTGGTCTTTCTGCTAATTCTTTGGGAGGAAAGTTTTAACACAATACAGTAATGTCCTAAACCTCTTTAAATCTGTATGCCCATAAAGAAAGAAGCTGGAAATTAAGATAAATAAGCCCGTATTTGTTGTCTTTAGCTAGAGAGTTTATTACTGTTTTATTCAGCTGGACCTTCTCTTCTCATTCTTTAGCATAAACTGAGTATTGATGTCACTCTAAGTACATCAGCTACAGCTCTGTACCTGGAAGGCACTTGACTCAAGCCCCAAAATAAACCAGGAGACTCAGACACATCCTGTGCACCATCCCAGTTGCTGAAGCAGACAATTACCAGGCCTTTATTTTTTATTGTCAAAATGATGATTGAAAGGACCTCAAAACCATTCCCATGCTTCCATTAGAACAAGCCAAATGAATACAACTATTACAACCAAAGTAGCTTAATTAAATGAATTGGTTCACAGTGTTCAAAAATCCTTGCTTTCTCTGAAAGCACCTCTCCTGATCCTGCTATAAATACCTGTTTTGGTCCCGTTAGAGTCAGAGGACAGGGATATGCTGCCATTTCCGCTGCTAATCTCTCATTGTTCAGGAGTCTGGCCTGGTGCCACAAAGGAAAAGCTACCATGCTTGCTGATCTGTGCATGTGCTTTCCTCACAGAAATGATTGCTTCCTGGAGGGTTAAGGACCTGGGCCCACTGCTCCGTAGCCATTCCCTCCAGTACTCCTAGATAGTGCACATTTACTGCTGAGAATAACAGCTCAGACTTTCCTTATACAGCAATTTCAGGCAAAGGGGATGTCGCAGTTCTGCTTGACTATGAGAGAAAATCATCCTATTTGAAAATTGACTCTTCCTTAGATGACAGAATACTCAAGTTAACTTAGTTAAAATATATACTACATCTAAATAGGAACAACTCCCAAGATGTGGCTGTTATCCAGAAAAGCCTTATATTTTTCAAAATTTTGATTGCCTCATTACACCAAAGTGTTCATATTTTAGCGGGAGAACAAATGGCTGTTTAGCTTGGAAGACTTTTCAGTCTGAAAAGATAAAAGGAGTGTGAGGAGTGTGGGTGTGGGAGGGAGTAGCAATAGCCTTCAGAGGATGAAGTGTTAATGTACAGATGATGGAGACCAGCTGCTTTTCATCTCCACAGAGAACAGGGAAGAGGAAATGGGCTCCCATGTGAGATGTCGCTCTGACATCTTGCTGTATAGCCAGCAAGTAGGGCACAGGCTGAATCAAGAGGAACCAGCAGGATGTCTACAACATGAGAAAGATGTCTGACGACTGATGATATCCATAGTATAATTCCTGAATGTGATAGCTCCTAAATGTAACATTAAAACACTGCATTTCAAGACATTGCCATTGTGTTCTTTACCAAAGGTCTAACTCAGACCCATAATGTGTAAAACACTATGCTAAGTGCAGGCAACCAAGTTTTCTCCTTTTCATGATGTGGGAAGCATAGATACTTGGGGACTACAAAGTCTAGGTATGGATTTCTGTTGTGCAGCTTGCCCCCTTTGCTACTTTGGTCCCATTTTCAACCAGGTTTTTGTCTCTATATTGGTGAAATAGCAATAGCCCTGTGTTGTTACCATGGCACATCACATGCACAGTGTATGTACTGTACAGCAGAAGTATGTACCACATACATGGTGATACACAGAGTACACATTAAATAATAGCAGTAAGCATCTTGTAGAAACAATAGTGCAAAGGAACTTCAGATTTTAATTTGTGGTACTGAGACTTTGTTCCTTTTTTATGCTTTAGGAAACCAAGGCACAGTGTGATCCCAAACTTGCATTAAGAATATAAAGTGAACGAGGACAGGAATTTTCTTGAAAATTATTGTAACTCCTCAGTAATAAGGAAATGAACTGAATTTGTTTTGACTTTGTAAGCTTTAATTCTGTTGGTTTTCAATTGATTCATTTAATATTTATTAAAATCCATGCTGGTGCTATGCTAAGCACTGGGAGCTTCCACACAGAGAATGGCCCATGTAGTGAAAAAGGAAGATATCTACCAAAGCTTGTGACTCAGTAAGTGCCGCTGAATGAATAGAACAGAACGTTTCAGAAGCTTTGTGGATTGGAGAAGAGAATAAATACAGTCAAAGCCATAGATATAAATTCTGGTGTATTTAAAGATTATCCTAATATGTACTGTACCTCAGATCCATGATATTTTTTAAAAGCTGCAATATTTAAATTAAGAATGAAATCATAATAATTGTAAATATATATTATTTTCTCACTATGGATTTAAAGTTATGAACAGATGTTTCCCTTTAGAATGGCAGCTGCTTAAATTTTGATACTAAGAAATGTTGCCTGCAGCTCTAACCAGTGAAAGAAGGAAATTGGCAGAAATGTAGCTCCTGAGAGTGAGAGAGCCACCAGAGTGTTTACTGAGGTTCAACTCAGTTTGCCTTTGCATGGTGGTCCTCATGTTAGCTGTCCTGAGACTCAGTATTTCTGCAGTACTACATATGATTCAGTTGACTTTTTAAAATAACTTCTATAATGCTCTGGTTAAGTAAGTGATAGGCCATTGCTTCACTCCTGTAAACTGCTTTGCCAAATAATTTTGTCGTTGAGAACTATGACCTGAGATATCCAAACAATTAAAAAGTCCAATATCAACTGACATTTTCATCAAATACACAAGTTTTACACATGAGCTAAAATGTAAATTTAAAATAATCAGTGGGAAAAGCACCAGTTTAGTATTTATTACTGGTTCTGTGCTAATTACTAATATTACTGTGCATATTACTAATATCTTTTGAGATAGTAATGCCAACTTTTGCTTGAACCACAAAAGAGAAAAAGAATATTTTACAAGTTATGAAATGGTCAGTTAATAGGAGTGAGAACTACTGTCACAACAGGCTGCAAGTTTGGGTTCACATATATATTCTAGTACTTATCAAAACTTCATAATGGTTAGGAAACTCATATATCAGTAGAGAACATGAATTTGAATATGGAATGTATGATAAGCTAGTATTTTATGGAATCGATCCTGGGCTTTAGTGGAAGCTTGTTCGATTTGATCAAGTATCAATAAAAGAACGCTCATTTTAGTTTTTTTAGTTTTACACTAAGGCCAACATACGTATTACTAACATCACTACCAATGAGCTTTTGTTTACAAGGTTTAACAGTGTGTGTTATATTTATAACTCTATTTCTTTCATACAGACCTTTTATGTTTTCCTCATTTATCTCATTAAATAATAGTTAAAGAAATCTCAAACCATTTTAATGGCATATGAAAAAACATAAATTATTTTAAATTGTTTTCACAAAGTCAGTAAAGTTAAGATTTGAAAAGTGTTTATGATTATTAACATGACTCTTTGTTGCCTCCCAAAATGTGGTGTTTGTTATAACTTGCTAGCAAACTACCATCATGATCTCATCTTTTCTGAATGTAATAGTACTTTAAGAATAAAAAAAGGCACTTTATTATATCTAACATAAATTTATACTTTATATGTATAAAAATAGCATTTGTTTTCTCTTATTAATGTAAGAAATAAATTTCAGTATAACATTCAATATTAAAGCAAGTGACAGTTTTGAAAACAGTATATGAGTAATCAATTTTAAATCAAAAACGTTTATTGTAAAAAAGAGACCTTGAAAGTTACTTTAAAAAAAGGACATTGATTTCACAAGTATTCTGGTTGCATATAGGCATAGCTCTAAGCCATACCTCACTTCCATACAGAGTTCAGTCATATAAAAATAAACACAAATGTATATAAATTCATCAGCTACACAATTCATTAAAATAGGCACTTGGAGGGACACTGTATTATTGCATCCACCACATGAATTTTCAAAAGTTTAAGTACATTACTGAATGTCTAAGAAGCTCTCTTGAACATTTTCATTACTTTGTCTTATAAATCATTAGGATTCTTTTTTAAAAGAAAGACAAGAGACACGCACCAGGAATGTTTGAAGCTTGTCCTTCCCTCCTCTTCCAAGGCACACATGGCAAAAATGAAACAAGAATATTTAAATACATTCTCTTGTGTTCTGTTCTTTTTCTCATTTTTAAACAATACATTTGAAAGCATTGTAGGTAATCCAGAAAAGGCTTTCATTCACCGATGACAGGCAGGCATCAGGCATGTAAGAAAGTAAACTTGGAGTACTTTGTAAGGCACCTGAGATAGTCTGACAGATCCTCCCTCTTAGAAACACTATTACAACTCTATTATGAAGCAATACTGTTCCTTTTGGTTGAAATGGTTTGGCAGCAACGTAAATCTCTGCATTCTTTCTTAGTATGAAAGATGCAATGTGCTTTTCACTTCATTTGTAAAGAGAAAAGTTCTTGTCTTTTATCATTTCAATATAGCTGTCAGTAAATATAAATTTAAACTTCACATAGAATGGATTAGGTCTAAGCATATAGATCCTGTTCTGTACTTTGGTGTGTGTGAGTGTGTGTGTGTGTGAGAGAGAGACCCTTTTGTGTTTCTACACATAATATTTGGTTGGTAAGCACAAAAGAAAATGGCTTTGGACTTTCGTTTGGCATTTGGCATTGGAGTGAAGAAATGCATTCTCTTTGAGTAAACATTGGTTGCGCCACTCAGTGTGCCACACAGCAGCCAGACTCCTCATGTTTGTGCAGAAGTGACATTCTGGAGAAGGTTTTGGAGCAGTTTTTGCACTGGTACTTCTTTACATCAGAGTGGGTCTGCAGATGTGCCCTCAGGTTTGACCTGTCTGCAAAAGCTCTGTTGCAATGAGGGCAAGAGAAAGGCTTTTCCCCTGTTGGGGGAAATAAAAGACAGTCAGTGTTTTTATAAGACACAAAATCAAACAATAATAATGAATATCAGCAGTAGTTTATTAGAAGAATAAGAGTTAGCATGCCTTGGTTACACCCTACCTCCCATATTAGGCAGCTATATTCCAATCTGGCCTTTTAATACAAAATTTTAAAATACCAGCCAAATAGCATTAGTTATGCCAGACATGCAGAAGTAATTCAGAGTTAAAGGGCTTTCTCTTGGTAAAGGTTTCTGCTTCAACAGGTGCAGGAATGATGAGCAGCTTCCCACATTTCCAGTATTTCTCCTCTTTCTGTGTGATGACTAAGGCTGTATAAATGCCACTCCCTGCATTTGATTTTAGGCTAAAAGTTTAACAATTTTTTTTCAGCAGCAAAAAAATAAACAAAACAAACAAAAAACAGGTGAAATTATCTAGTCAACTAGTCAAGAGTTGACAAATTTCACAGGGAACATATAGCCTAAAACTATAGGAACCCCCTCCACCTGTTTATCTAATCACACTAGGAGCCAGGCATTTGTATTTGCTGACTACTAAGGGCAATTCTGCAGAACACACATCAAGCACCTAGCTTCTACTTTCTAACTGATCTTTGAGACCAAACCTCCTACATGTACTTTCCAAAGTCTAAATGCTGTTTACAGTCTCTGGAGCAGAGGCTGTTAGCAACAAATGGAGCACTTGCTGTTGTAACAAGCCTTTGAGCAGCCAGGAAGCAGCTCTCAGCGGTTCATCTCATGAAAAGCACTCCCTGCACTACCTTAAGACACCCCAGAGGCAGCTCCACTACACCATTGTTTAAACTGAGAGGCATCATTTTCTACTCTTCTCTTACCAGTGTGTGTTCTAATGTGTCCTTGAAGCAGCCAGGGTCTGGAGAAAGCCTTGCCACAGATCTTGCAGACACAAGGCAACGTGTGGGTCCGAATATGCATCTTCAGAGCACCCAGGCTTACATACTCCTTGTCACAGTATTTGCAGCTGAATGATTTCCTAGACTGGGCATCACAATGCAGCTGCTTATGTTTGGCCAGCCCAGAGAAAGTAGAATAGGTCTTATTGCATAAATTGCACTGAAACTTTTCAGCTTCAATGGCATGGGGGTCTGAAAGCTTAGACTGCAGTCGTTCCTCTTCATCACTAATGGGACTTTCTGAACCACTGTGGTCCTTGGATGAAGTGTCAGATGGAGGCGGGGGGCTTACTCGCCCCAAGGATGAGGAGTATCCAGCAAGAGAAGAAAGGCCGCTCTGCAGAGGGGAGTGAAATGGAGCTGCTGATGTCCATACAGTAATAGGGCTGTATGCTCCTGAGCTGAGGATCTCTGGTTTTGGTATGACAGGCATGGGGTAGCTCTCATACAAATATGGGGAAATGATTACTGGGAGAAAGAAAAGAAAGAAAAGGAAAGAAAATTAAGCCAAAATACTTTAGAAATATATTACACAGTCTGATACAGCGTATAACAACATACACAGACTCCATAGTGAAGAAAGCCTTACTCACAAGGACACCCATAAAAAGAAAACTTTCTCTTCACTTGGGCTTACTGTCCTTGTGCAGCCTTACAGTTGTCCTGACTGCACTCTGGACAAGCCTTACTGTCCACATTTAGAAGGAAGAACTAAACACTATTTTAAAACTTTTTGTAAAGTTGCTTTCCATTTTATGCATGGGCTATTCTACACGTACCATGATTGTGGGGGTAATGGTGGGCACAAATCCAGACTCTTTCCCAAGCGCCTGGCTCCCGGAGGTAACTACTCAGCCTCGGGGAAGGGTGCGCTCACCTCCGTTCACTCCTTAAGAGTACGCACAGGCTCCCAGAACATACAGCACGACCGGAAGGAGACTTTCCTCGTCAGCAAAGAGCTCAAAAGTTTTGAATTAAAACTTACTCTAGGTGACCAAGGACTGTAAGGACTGTTTTAGGAAAACATTGAAAGAAAGCAGCCTGGTGTGTGTTCTGAGTAAAGCAATGGACGGGCAGTTCACTCGCGCACAGATTTGCAGAGCTTATTTTTACCTGTGTGTGTGTCCAGTTCGCTGTAGTTCGGCTTCTTGGAGGCATTGAAATGTTTCTTGACCAGGAAGGAGCGTGGCATGGTGGCGGCGAGCGGGCGCGGGCGGATAACGGTCCAGGCGGCGGTCCTACAGCATCGCGGTGGCTCAGGTGTGGCGGGGGACAGGCGGGCGCCTCTGAAGTCACCCGGCTCCCTGCCCGACTGAGTTCCTCTGGGTAGGGAGGGGTTTTCTCCCTAGCTTTTGCTAGAATCATCCAATCACAGCTGAGAGGTTCGGATTTCAGCCCCTCCTTCTGGGACAGCTGTGAACAGAGGAAGAATCTGTTGTCAGACTAAATTATTCTGGTTCAAAAAGGCCTGTTCGAGGCATTTCAGTGGAGGCCCAAAATACATTAAATGTTTTCGAGAAAGGAAATTTGGGTTCTTGAGCACGGCGGGAACGCGTTCCCGAGAGCTGACCGCCTGTGACCTGGCTTCCAGATGCGGGCAGTGTCTGGCGCGGCGTGGGCGGGAAGGAAGGGCGGCCCTCGGGACCGCGTAGCCCCTGATGGCCAGAGAGCCTATATTTGGAAGTAGTTCTGGGAGGGGGTTATTTGCACACGGGCAGATGTAGGCCTTGGCTTTTGGGAAAGGGAGATGAAGGCTCCCAGGAGCCATGAAAGCCAAGTCTAAGGCTGTGCGCCCCAGGAATTTAACTTGCTGGTGGCTGCGTTAGCCGCTGGAAAGCCTTGTAGCTTATTCCAGGAACTGGACTGTAAAGATAAAAGGGAAGGCTGATGTAGACTCGGACAATAGGCAAACTCTGGAAGAAACATAGAAAGTTCTTATGATGGCATATGACAAGATTTCCTCCGTTTGTAGCACATAGTACTTTAGTGAAAGAAAAAAAGTATTTGTGAATCTTTACAGACAATTAACTCTTAAATAGTATCAGCTTTTATTTAGTGATGTTTTCTTTAATAGGGAGGAGTCTTCAACACCCCCCCCAAAACTCCTCCCACTTTCCTTGCTTACATTAAAAGATGATAAAGAGTTCCTTTGCCGAGTTACTTGACTGACAGTATAGGTAGTTCAGTAGCCAGCCAATCACTTGTATTTGCACGGAGGAATAGGTCTAAAAATGCTCCGAAGTCAGTTATTTTAAAACTGAAGTTTGTGCCATACCCACAGACACCTGTTTATTTCAGTGTTACCCTGCCTTTTCCCAACAAAAGTGGAGAACCACCCCGCTCCCAGACCACCAACTTTTTTCATTAACAGGTGCTGGAAGAAAACAGCGGAAAGAGAATACCACCAGCAATGTTGAGACTTGTAAGAGAAAAGTGCATTGTCAGGCAGCATAACTTTCTTAATCTGGGGATGAGAAAAACAGGAGCGTGGGGTGGGGGAGGGGTGTTGCAAAAACTTCCTGGGTTAATTTCAATGATTCTTCTTTCTCTTTCCAACAGTCACTGATTTAAAGGTAAAACACAGAAAGGAATTGGTATAAATCCTTAATATTAATTAAGAAAACCTAATATTCACGAGACAGGAAACCACGAAAAGGCTATACCATGAGTGCAAATCAGAGCTAGAGCCTGAGCTGTAGGCTTGCTCAGGTGTAGTAAGCACCTGCTTTTTTTCCCCCCATTTTGATTATTAATTAATTCAATTTAGATTTCGTTCGTTCCTTCCAGTCCCACCGTCTCTTCCACAAAATAGGGAGCCGCCCCCCCACCCAGACACCCCAGCTCATCAATATTCACTTTAGGACTGAGTGCATCTTCTTCCCTTGTTATAGGCAGTCCCATCAGAGGGAAGTGATCAAAAAGCAGGCAACATAGTCCATGTCAGAGATATCGCCCACTCCCTAACTACCTGAAGCCTAAGATATCCATCGGCTACTTATAAGTTCAGGCTCTAGGTCCAGACCATGCATTGTCTGGGGTTGATGCTTCAGACTCCACAGGACTCTCTGAGTCCTGGTTGATTGGCTCTGATGGTCTTCTTGTGGAGTTTTTGTCACCTCTACATCCATTTATCTTTTTTTCCAGTAGACTCCCTATGCTTCACCTAATGAGTCTCAGTATCTGTTTCCAAGCATTGCTGGGTGGAGCCTCTAAGAGGACATCTCTGATAGGCTCCTGTCTGCAAGCATATCAAAGTATCATTAACAGTGATAAGGGTTGGTTTTATTCCATGGGGTGGGTCTTAGGGTTGAGTTCAGCATTGATTGGACATTCTGTCAATCTCTGCTCTATCTGTTCTATCATTGTTCCTGCAGGTCTTGCATGTAGGGTAAGTTTGGGATTGAGGATTTTGTGGGTGGGTTGATGATCTCCTTCGTCTACTAGAAGTGTTGTCTAGATAAGGGGTGTCCTCTGCTATTAGGAGTCTCAGCTAGAGTTCCCCTTATATCCTTCCAGAAGCCTATTTTGATTTAGGTCTTCAGCTTGCCTCAGAGATGCCCCCACCCACGATTTCTTTTTTTTCTGCAGGCCTTCTGCCCTCCCAACCCTGTTCTCCCCAGGTCTGCACTCTTCCCCTGTTTTTCTTTGCTCTCTCTCTTCTACTTTGTTCCCACTTTTCAACCACTATCTCTGTCTACTCTATTTCCCCTTCTGAGTGAGATTTATGAGTCCTCCCTGGGATCTTCCTTGTTATTTATCTTCTTGGGGTTCTGGGCATTATAGTATGTCTGCTCTGTACTATATGACTAAAATCTGCTTATAAATGAGTACATACCACTTATGTATTTCTGGGTCTGTGTTACCTCATTCAGGATATCTTTTTCTAGTTCCATCCATTTTCCTGCAGGTTTCATGGTTTTCTTGTTTTTAATAACTGAGTAGTATTTCATTGTATAAATGTGCCACAGTTTCTTTGTTCATTCTTTGGTTGAGGGACATCTTGTTTCCAGATTATGGCTATTACAAATAAAGCGGCTATGAACATGGTTGAGTAAATGTCCTTGTTGTAGGTGAAGCATCTTTTGGATGTATGCCCAGGAGTGATATAGCTACGTCTGGAGGTATGGCTATCCCCAGGTCACCTGCTTCTTTAGGGCAAGAATTCTCTTGACCTTCCCACCTAATTTCTGATAAAACACACCATTTGTTAATGATTTTATATCATTGAGAGAGCGCAAAGCCAAAGGACAACTGGGAATGTCAGAGGATTTTTAGTATTTATTTACTGATAACTATGACACACAAGATAACTTACTAAAGTGAGTTGTTGAGATTTAAAAACTTAGTAGCACTTCAAAGTGCTTTTAAAAGAACCCCTGAATTTGAACCACAGAAACAGAAATCAGGGACCCCTGAGTCATGGCTAAATTACAGATTACAGTCAAGGTTCATGTCCCCACTTCTACAAGGAGCCTAGTTTTCCAGATTGCAGTAGCCACTGGCTAGCAAGAGCCAGGATTAAGTTAAACTAGTCTGTTTCATGCCTTACCCATGTGAAATATATTCTACTGTCAGCAGGGTAGAGTCCATCCACTAATGACATAAATGACATTAAACAGGTGCAGAGGAGAATTGGTACTAAACTGATGTGGTGAAAATGCAAGAATGGAAGTCCAGTACACCCAAGGCCAGCTCTGATGACTTTGCTATAACACAGTAGGTTTTCTCCCTGAAGCCCTTGATCTTCAGTGGATGAAGATGCTGACTTTGGTCCCTGACAGAAAGATTTTGTTTTGCTCAAGTCAGGGATCTTCTCTTATATAGCAGCACTATATTTTAAATGTTTCTATAGTATTCTTTAAAAAAAAAAAAAAAGGAGAGAAAGAGAAAGGGGGGAAGAGTGAAAGAGAAGGAGAGAGAGAGGCAGGTTAATGGCAAGTAGCCTTTGCTAATGTAAGAGAAATTAGTCCTAAACTGGAGAGATACTGGTGTTGCTTAATTAAGCAAATTAAAAAAGTAACTTATAAGGGAAATAATTCTTGTGGAAGAGAACCTGAGCCAAGTCAAGCTAGAAATATCAGGTAAATTAAATTAAGAATGGCTCAACCTTAGACCTTAAAATGTAATCTAAGGAAAGAGTCACGAACTCCTATGGCCCTGTATAGTGGGCCTCATAACTTCTTTTCAGGCTTAAATCCACTGGAACACAATTTTGACTTGTTTTCCATAGAACTAATTCCTGAGTCTCATGGGATCCTAGAAAGTTCATTCCATCTCAGTTTTCTCATTCTCTCATTTCCTGTTCTTTCTGGAGAAACTGACCAGGTTGATCTGAGTCTTTCCCACAAGGCTCCCTAGATTCCTGAGGTCTTTCTCCCTCTAGGATCTATATTTTCTTCCTTCCTTCCTTCCTACCTTCCTTCCTTCCTTCCTTTCTTCCTTCCTATGTTAAGGAAATGAAGTCAGTCTACTACCAATTGGGACATTCCACATACTGTGCCCATCCCTAAAATGAACCATAGTTCTTTAGAGCTACAGCATGTGGCAGGGCCATTAATATCTGTGAAAAATATGTAGTTATGGAAAGTCATTGGTTTGCCTGTAGTATCACAAAGTACTACTAATTTAAAAAATAACTAGATAAGAGATTTTTATCATATTAACTGAAGCTTTATTGAAAACAGTGTGATGTCCTTTGTGGGTTTGAACATGTTTATAACTCTATGTTAATTTGGACATATATTTTTCACTCCTGATTTATAACTTAACTCAGTCTCTGATAAAGTAAACTTGCCCTTAAAATTACAGAAAGGACATTTCCTTCACGTATCTGGACTTGCCTATGTGCAATCAGGCTTATTAAACATGTCTAATTAATTAAACATTCTCTACCATAAAAGGAAAAATTAGCAGATTCCTGTATCCATACAAGATTCTGATTACATACTTTGAATTCCATATTAAAAAATATCTTTGCAATATGGGGGAAATTTACACAAACACACATAAAGACACATACACAGAAACACATGCCTGTCTAGCTTTATTGGCACCATGAACATGGTATATTTCTATTTCTTTCTCATTTCTCCCCTGTCTCTCTCTCTCTATGTCTCTGTCTTTGTTTCTGACTGTCTGTTTCTCTCTCTCTCTGTGTGTGCGCGTGCATATTGTTGTGTGCAGACGCACTTATTGGAATTGGGATAAAAAACAAACCCAATGAAAATGATATCAGTTATCCTTCCCTCGTTAGAGATTCCATCATCTCCTGGGTATTCACAAGGAACCA